GCTGCGCGTAACGGGCGTCACCTGCGTCTCTCCAAACACATTGTATTTCGCCCCTCCGCGTCCCGTTTTCTGTCAGCGAGCCCTTCCTGCGCGTTTTACGGCTGCGCGTAACAAGGAACCACCCTGCCAGGGAGCTGCAGCTCACCTGGGAAGCTTTCTTCAGAGTTTCATAAATAGGTCTCCTAGGTGCCATAGAAGCGATTTCCACCATCATCGGAAAAACTTGCACCTCCACGTTACGTGCTCATTAAAACTGCCCGTTAACGTGCAAGTTTGGCTAGTATTACTACCGTCCCGAGATTTTCGACCAATTTCGAGAGGTGGGACACTTTTCGATAGGTGTTATACCCCCTTATGAGCGATTTCGATAGAATGATGCCACGTAATTTCTGGAGTCATGTTTTTTTAGGCGTGGCCCAAAGCTAATTTGATCCTAGTACCAGTTTCCCACACACATATAATTTACATATGCCGACAGGATGTGGATGAATTTGTAGAAGGATATGTAGACCATCCTATCGTTCCGAAGATGGATCAAATTGTCGATTTAGGCAAAAATTGGCATTTTAGGTTGCTTGGCTCCATGAAATGAGAAGAACAAAAAATTGCGTTTGCTGAGAAACTAGGGAGAGTGTTACGCGTTCAAATTCCCGTGTGACAAATGTTCATGACGAGAAAGGGTTCCACATGGTTGGAGTGCCTTCACTAGGAATCAGGGAAAAAATCGTGTCAAGGACGTGATCGCAGTCCCTCCCAAAAATAAGAGTCTTCATACGACCCCTCCTCGAGCAATGTGAAAGTCAAGTTTAGAGAACGACGGCCGAATCACCGGCAATTGCGGCGCGGTTGAACCATGGGTCAGATTCTCTGAAACACCGCTACATACTATGGAAGTCTCCACGCTCGTTGAAAGGTGCCACTCCCTCATTTCATAACCATTTCACGAAAGCCATTTGTAACTTTTTTAATTTTTTTAAACAATTCACAACCATAGTGGTAATCAGCTTCAACTCTCTTTTGGTCCGTTTCCATCCATGGCCATCGATACGTCCTATTCTTTTGACGCGCTTTTTCTGCCTATTCCGAATTTCGATTCGACCTCTAACCACACACCTTCTTTTAATGCTTCGTCTGATACGTGGCCGCCCCGAAGGGCGTTCCTTTCCATGGGCTCCTGTGGCTCCACCCGACCTGACGGCGATCGTCCGGTCGGGTGTGGGTTTCGTAGCCTTTCTCTTCGGGTAAAACTTCGGGTAAGACAGGGTAAAACTTTGCATGTTGTCTCTAGTGATCACGACTGACATATTCATCCGTTAGAAAGATCGCGAGAACTCTCGGCAGGGTCAAGCGTGCGTTGAGGAATCCTCGACACGTCGCAGGGGGGGGGTCGTATTGGCCCGCTGGGTGGAAGAGATCGAGCCATTTTGATGCAGTGGGATCATCACCGTCGGAAGACAAATATCAAGGATGAGTCGATGCCAGGCCAGAGGATTTCCAATGAAAATGATATTTCACCCACACAAAATTTTCGTGATTCTGAGGCGTCCGGTAATTCTTAGTTACTTCAGTGTTTTATCACCACACAAGTTAAAGAATCTGAATTTCGCACGCTTTCCAAGAGATATTTCATCTTTCAAGTAAGACCCCGAATCTGAAGGGATGTGAGGTACACGGCGCATCCGAGAAAGGGTCTAGTTGTTGCGCGCGCTTCAACTACGGCTCCTTGGACAAACAACCTCAATTCAGGAACAATCGAGAGAATTCTGAAAGTGTCCGTGCGCATTTACAGGGAGGTGTACACCATTCAACATTGCGTTAACGGACTCTTCAGGGTTAAATTTATAAACATGTAACCTTTAAAGTTGAGAAACGCTAATCAATCACTTTTCTTAGAAAGAGAAAAGCAGTGATTCCAAATCTGCTCTTACTTTAGTACATAATCGCCCTTAAAAGGATATGCAGCCGTTGAAATAGTGCCAATGTAGCGAAAAAGTACCTTTCGGCGGTACTCGTGCAAAAATCCTCAACGTAGCCGTTTTTTTAATACTGGACGTTTGGAGCAGTTCTAGTAAGCATTTGATAGAGCAAATCTTCTAGTTTATGATGGCGTATTTACTTTTCGGATTGGATGAGTTTGAACGGAGTTATGGCTTTAGGAAGTAAAAAAACTCGCACTCATCACAAATTTTCCCTCGTTAATTTTGCAAAAATCCTCAACGTGGCCATTTTTTGAGTACTGGACGTATATGAAGCTGCTTTAGCGACCGTTTGATAGAGAAAATCTTCTAGTTTTGTATGACGTATCAACTTTTTGAATTTGACGGAAATGAAGCAAGTTATTGCTCCGGAAAGTGTAAAAACTCGTGCTCGTCTCGAATTTTCCTCGTTAATTGATCTAAATTTGTTATTTCTTATAACTTTTTGTAATTTCAGTACTGATTAGAAAGAGCTCTTCACAAAACTCCCAAATCTGCTTTCAGATTGAAAATTCGTTAACTTTGAAGAAAGTTATAATCATTTGAATATTTGTTCAAATTTCAATAGTAAATAAGCTGCTCCACGGTCAACGCCAAAGTCCAGTCAACACACAGCTGGCGAAGGCTTCCCTTCGAGCGAAAGGGGGACGTGTAAATTGAGAACCATAATCTGTGTAGTACTAGAATTTGGTAAGTCTTGTGGAGGAAATAAATAAAGAAGAGATGTTGTCATAGTATGCCATTTTTAGTGACTAGTTTGTCGTTTTCTGGTCTGTTTCTCGTTTGCTCGTTTGGTAGGACTCATCAATAATGATTATTCTTTGACTTTTTCACTTTTGTACTTCTTAAACGAATTTTTTTGTGGGCGGTGGGGTAGCAGGGCTTTTTTATGAGCAGTTTTGGGGGAGAATTAAACAAGCTTTTCAACCTTTTCATAGTTCGGCTTTTGAAGAGGGTTGTTTCATGGACTTCGGCCTCCGGCGGAGGGTGGGGGGGGGGGCGTATTTCCAAATTTTCCTCAACGCCTCGCTTGACCCTGCTCTACGGGGACATTTCCTGCAACTGAATGACCAAATAGGCCGAGAGTGATTTAATGTGGCCATATCTCGCTGATCCTAATGTCTATCTTGTGAAATTTCAAAAATAAACCTAACCTTGGACTGTAGCGGCACACAACATTATAAGTGCTCATCGTAGCACATAATTGAACTCCACAGCCAACCTCGTAAGTGGAAGCCCACGCCATCTGAAACACTTCCTGTGTTTTGAAAAGAAAATCTGGTTTTTTCTTCCAATTTCGAATTCCTTCACATTAGACGGCGCTATCACAATGTACAGGGACATTTCGTGAACCTCAAAGCAGTTTTTCTTCAGAATTTTTGACTTTAGCGGTGTACCAGATATAACTGCAGTTCTAGGCTTTCATACTGTATATTGTTTTCAAGAGAATTCCAAATTTGGAAGGGGAACTCGGGTTTTAAGGGGAAGGAGGGCAAAACCTCTAAAAGTTAAGTGTCCAAGAGAATTTTCGATACACTTCAAACCCCTTCCCGTATCTGAGGGCTATGAGAAGACGAAGAAGTCCTGATTAGTAATTAATCTTCAGCCTAATAATGCAAAACCCCAATTAATATGCTGGCGAGCTAAATGGCACATTCTAAAATTCTATATAATTTGGCTCTTAGCGACTCTTGATCTCTTGGATCCTCCTACATGTAACGTTAATGGCGAATGTTACACCAGTGTAAATTTTCGTGCTGTCGTGCTATGGGATGAGATTCGCTCTAATAATTGATCGATGGAATATTCCCGCTTTTCGTAGCTTTCACGATGAAATGCAGTCATAGGCTGAACATAAGGCAATGAGGCATAAGGCTGGTATTGTCCTATGCAGCATTGACAGACAAGTCCCATGAGGAAGTGGTTGATGAGCTTTGGAGTTGAGTGGGGCTGTTCAGCAATGGCAGCCGTGGGCCGGCTCAGGATCATGCTAAAAACAGTAAACACGATGGCTGGTAGGGGGAGATGATCTGAAGGTTTTCTTGGTTGAATGGCGCGTAAGGAGGCCCGCCCATGGTGAACGTGTCAAACTGCCCCCCCCCCCCCATCAAAAACCTTCCCAATTAACCATCCATTCGATTTCTTCGCTATTCTTGGGCACTGATCCTATCATCGTGTAGGTATCAGAAATATAATAGATTTGTGATTAAAGCAACAGTTCAG